CTACACGTTCGATCATCTCGTTACTCTATGCCACAAAGGAATATACTTTCTTCACACTCTAACTATTATGATATTACTAATACAAAGGTAACATTATGATTACGACAAGCCCGCGAAGCCAGCATTCTTTACAAGTACATTGTTAATGACCTAGCGTCTCAATTGTTTAATCATCTACTATTTTTTTCTCTAGCAGAAGGTAGTGAAAATTCTAGAAGTTTTTTTTTTGTATTGTAAGAATAACAATGTAACACGTTTATAATATCATTACTGAGACTATGTAAAAGGAATTTTGGATATAAGAATAGTATTTAATATAAAATATATTCGTAGAATGCGACGATAAATACATGTTTTCGATTTACTGTGTGTTCTTGTACTTATAAAGAATGCATTTAAAAACGCAATTGAAAAATGCATTATTATAGCGCTAAATTGTTTAAATTCTAAATAGTACTTTGAAAATTATATCATGGTATATACGATCACACGTTAAAATTAAAATATCCGTACACTTGTTCATTCGAAGTGAGATGGAATATAATATACTTTGTATTTGTAACAATATCTCTTACGCGTTGATTTCTTCTTCGTTAATCTCTAAATCTCCCCTTATCATCGATGAATGAAAGTGCATTCCCTTTTTTCATTTCACTCCGCCCTATGCATCTTCATTCGAACATTTTGTACCACTGCCATATAGCAGATCATTTATACCATGATATACAAAATTGTATTTTTTTTTTTTTAGTAACACCTACTATAGTTTAATATTAATAATCTATAATAAAAACGGACCTAATAAAAACATTTATTTCTTTTTTGGCCTCACTTTTGATACTAAACTATAATGGTAATTGAAGAGAAAAGAAACAACAATAAGTGTCATTGTTGAATTTTAAATTAATTAAATAATTAAGTAAAGTTTGTTATAATACCCTTCCTTTATTTTTTTGTCCTAGTTGAATTTGCATATTGTATTTCTTTTCTTCTTGTTCGTTTCCGTGTTTTCATTTGGAATATATCGTTCGCATTAACAAGATCTTCGTTACTTGTATATGAAAGGAATTAGAGCTAGTCGTTAAAAAAAAAAAAATATATATATATATAAATATATATATATTTGTTTTTCGATGTGTAATTTGTGCAGGGTATTATACATTTAAAATAACTTTTAATTATATTAGTAAATATTAAATAATAGTCTTTTAAATTGGTTATTGTAACATTGTATGTCTATGAGGAAAAAATTTGATAATGTTGTCCTATCTATTCTAGTCATTTATACTTTTTTTAGGCAATATTTTACCTTTCTCATCATGAATGTATAGTCATTTTTTTGTTTTAGTAATAGTGATTACCAGCTACATATTCAAAATAAAAATATTCATAGAGCCGGTATACAAAACGCGTTTTATGCGTTTCATTGAAAAAGCTAACTGGCATGCTTAATTAGTTTGCATGTCACATCGAGCTGTAATACGTATGTCACATTATACATACATATATATTTTATACACGTATAAATACATATATACATACACACACACACACAAATATATATATATGTATATGTATATATATATATATATATATATATATATACATATGTATACATAAATCGCTGGTATCATAAATATGAGTTACATCATTCGTTTGATTAAATTGAAAAATCCTAAATATTTATAATTGTTCTTATACCCTAAAATGTAAAAAATTACAACACAAACATTGAGTTGAATTTAGTTTCGTAAATGTATTCTCGTCGTAGAGAGAACTTCGAAATCATTCTTTTGATACTATCACACACTATTTTAATTTAGTGTTTCAATTTCCACAGTAAGTATATGTAATGCAATTTTATATATATATATATTACGCATAGTTAAATATTTAAAAAGTCTTGTGTACTACACGTACAGACAAAGCATGAAATGTATACAAGACTATGTATTACAATCAATAGTTTATCGACTACGAAGAGAAAGAAAAGCATATTTATATAAAAATTTGTTAACTACTATATCATATTGTTCGATGTATCCAAAGTATAAAAAATTTTTTTCATGTGAATTATAATCGAAGTTTGTCTTATAGAAATTACAAAATGTGAAAAAAAATATATATGTATATATACATATATTATATGTATCTACGAAAATAAAAATAAAAAGAATGCCTAGAGCATAAGAAGCTCGAAATAATACATGTTACATCTTTCTTTCACAACATCATTAAATGTATTTTCTCACACACCTTTATGAATTCCAATTTTACTTCTTTGTTATAAATATGAGCAATTTTATTCCTTTATATAATAATCTAGAAACCATATATTCTTATATTAATAGATATCATCACTACTACCTTCTCAACCAAAGATATAAAATTTGTTAATACTTGTTTGCATCATTACCATCAGTACGGGTCACAATTGAAAAATCCTATTTAAATATATAGATTTAAATACAATAGAAATATCATATCATCTCACGTGACATACGTTTAACAGCTCAGTAGCAATCGAGAGAAGAATTATCCCATAAATCTTACGCGTGGGACAGTATTTACTTTTGTTGCGTTTAATTGTGATATTACAATTTCTTTTTCTTTAAACAAATATATACTTTAGAGAGGTCCCAAAACTTTTGTCCATCGTCATTGTGATTATATCTCGTTTTCATGCTACATATATGTTGTGTGTAACTGGTACACATATACGTGTGTGTTTACAAATGCTAACTATTACAGCTAGCACCTTGGCTAATGAATGTACTTTGAATTATATATGTATATATATATATATACAGTATATTAAATAAAGTATTTTCCATTTCAAGATCACTAATACGTGTTTCTTAATACGAATGATGTGACTGTCAGAAT